AGCACAAGTCTTTGCTATCTAAACTTCCTTCTTTTGGTTTCTCTCCCCCACTTTGTTCTCTCATCTCTAGCTTCCTTGAGAATCGATCCATGGCAGTTGTTGCCGAGGGATTGATTTCTCGCTCTTTCTCTACCAATAGTGGCGTCCCACAGGGTTCTGTTCTTTCACCAACTCTCTTTCTTCTTTTTATCAATGATTTACTTCACACTACAACTAATTCTATCCATTCTTACACCGATGATTCTACTCTTCACTCTTCCTCACATTTTCCCCTTCCTCCTAACTCTCAAACTAGATCTGTTTCTAGAACTGATATCATTACTTCTATCAATGCGGATCTGTGCAGCATCTCTGAATGGGGAGATACAAACTTGGTTAAGTTCAATAGTAACAAAGCTCAATATTTACCAATTACACTTTGTAAATTAGACAATCTCCCACCAATTACATTTCAGGACGCTATCATCCTCCCAAATTTTGAAATAAATATGTTAGGCCTCACCATTTCCTCCAATATGTCCTGGAAATCACACATCCTTAGTATAACTAAAGCTGCCTCCCGAAAGTTGGGAATGCTGTACAGATGCCACAGCTACTTCACTCCTGAGCAGTTGCTCCAAGTATATAAGGGATTCATTCGTCCTAACTTGGAGTACTGCTCTCATATCTGGGGTGGCTCTTCTTCTGTCCAACTATTAGATAGGGTGGAATCAAAAGCATTTCGTCTTATTAACTCTTCTCCTTTAGTCGACAATCTCTCTTCCCTTTCTCTTCGCCGCAATGTTGCTTCACTCTCTCTCTTTTACAGGTATTTTAACGGGCAATGTTCAGTGGATTTGGCATCCTGTGTACCGCCGGCAAGGCCGTGGGTTCGTAACACACGTCTTGCCCGCGGTGCCCACCATTTCTCTGTGGATGTCGGTCACACGAGAATAACCCGTTATAGTACCTCCTTCTTTCTTCACACAGCCAAACTGTGGAATGCTCTGCCTTCTTCTGTGTTTCCATGCTCTTACAATCTGTCTCACTTTAAAAAGCTGGTTTTCCGGCATCTTCGTGGTGTAGATTAACACAGTATAACCTTTTTTTCGATATTTTCAATTTTTTTGCTTTTTTTTTCTCGCCCCCAGGCTCTGTTGTGGGTCGTTTGACCTGTGCCCGGGTGGGCTAATTCCCGTAAAAAAAAAAAAAAAAACTTCTTTCCAAAGTCAGAAAGTGTTTAGGCTTGTGTAAACACGAAATGTGTTAGGCACGTTGTAGCCAACAACAGAGAAAAAACGCCCCAGCCAGACTGACCATGTGACTTGTCATTCTCCCATTAAATAACGCAAGATACTACACACGTGGCGGTCGAAAGAGTTAAGAAGAAAACCCAGAAATTAAAGACGTGGGTTGAGTCAAACGATGAGCAGGACAGGAGAATGTATGCAAGAGCCAGAAACCAAGCAAAGATAGAGTGTAGAAGGGCTGAAAAGGAATTCCAGAGGCTGGTTGCAAGCGAGGTGAAGTCAAACCCAAAGGCGTTTTACCGCTATGCAAAGTCAAATTAAAAATGCGAGTAGGAGTATCAGGCCTGAGGCTTGAAGATGGTAGTTACGCAGATTCTGACCAGGATAAAGCTGAGGCATTGAACAGCTTCTTTTCCTCAGTGTTCACAAGAGAGGATGCAACTAACCTTCCTGCGTTTGAGGAGAGACGGTTTGACACAGCACTGACCCACATTGTGTTCACAGAAGAGGGTATTAGAAATAACCCGTCACAGCTAAAGGTCCATAAGAGTCCCAGCCCTGACATGGTGCATCCTAGAGTGCTAAGAGAGTTGTGCAACGAGCGTGCAGAGCCCCTGAAGATCCTGTTTTGTAAATGCCTGGATGAACAGAAGGTCCCCAGTGAATGGAAAGTGGCTTATGTGAGTCCTATCTTGAAGAAGGGTGATCGTCACTCCATGAACAACTATATACCGGAGAGCCTGACCAGCATAATATGTAAAGTGCTTGAGAGTATTATCAGAGATGCCACAATGGAACATCTACTACGAAACAACCTTGTAAAGAATTGCCAACACGGTTTTATGCCGGGGCGCTCCTGCTTAACACAAATGCTCAAGGTATTGGATATTTGGACCCATATTCTGGAACGGGGTGGTAATATCGACACTATTTACCTAGATTTTGTCAAGACTTTCAACAGGATATCCCATGAAAGGCTGAAAAACAAATTTGAAGGGTACAGAATTCGGGGAAATGTCTTAAGCGTGGATAGAAGACTTTCTACATGACTGCAAGCAGTGTGTGGTGATTAATGGCACAAAATCATCATCCATCACAAGTGGAGTACCACAGGCAGTATATTGGGCCCGCTGTTGTTAGTTTGTTTCATAAATGACATGCCTGACGTTGTACACCTCTCCATACAAATGTTTGCCGATGACGCCAAGTTATTTCGGGAAATCAAGAACCAAGCGGACTGTGAAGAGCTGCAGAAGGACCTCTGTGGGCTTCAAGAATGGTCGAAGAAATGGCTGCTGAGATTCAATGTCACGAAGTATAAGAGGATGCACCTGGGGCGTACCAACGGTAAGGAGGCGTATCATATGTCCCAACGGGATGAAGAAACTGCACTATTTGAGACTGAATGTGAGAAGGTCCAAGGTGTGTATGTTTACAATGAGCTGAAGTTCTCGGGCCATTGTGAGAAGAAGGTAAATCAGGCAATTAAATTATTGGGTCTTATAAGAAGGTCGTTCAGATATCTAGACGGTCCGTCCCTTGTAACAATCTTCAAGAGTGAAGTGCTTCCCCATCTGGAGTACTGTCACCCCATCTGGAGTACTGTCACCCCGTCTGGTCCCCGAGATAGGGACTGTCAGTTGGTTGAAAATGTTCAAAGACGGGCCACCAGACTGGTGCCTGCACTTCGGCACCTCAACTACCCTGAGAGATTGGAGTGCCTGAACTTGCCTAGCTTATATTACAGACAGGCAAGGGGCGACCTAATTGAGGTGTATAAGCATCTCAAGGGGCACTACTCAGTCGAGTGTCCTTACTTGGAGCTGGCAGGTGCTCGCCCCACAAGGGGTCACAGCTCAAGATTGAAGAAGCAGCAAATCCAGAAAACTGTGAGGGTAAACTTTTTCGGAGTGAGAGTTGTGAACTCTTGGAACAATCTACCAGAAAGTGTTGTGACGGCACCGAGTGCGAGCTCTTTCAAGACAAGGCTTGACCAACACTGGAGCAGGTTTAGGTACATTCAGGAGCCGGTGCATGCCCAGTACTTGCCAACAGTGCAGCTAACGAGTCGTTCAGTGGATAAAAGAAAAAAAAAGTAACAAAGACGTGACCGATCGCCCAAGCGGCTAACGAGCCGATCAGTGGTGAAGAGGATAAAAGTAAGTAAGTAAAAGTACTGTACATAAATTATATTACTGTAACACAATTCATATACAGTATTAATTACACTACTGCTCATGTTTACAATGTGTGTGTGTGTGTGTGTGTGTGTGTGTGTGTGTGTGTGTGTGTGTGTGTGTGTGTATGTGTGCGTGTTAAAAACTGTCTATTTTTTATCCCATAAACTGGTCCTTTGAATTGGATGAGCCTGATGACACTATTTTATCATCCATACAAATAAATCTAAATAGTTTCATTATTCCTGCCATCATCATTTTGGCTTCCTATTGGCAAATTTTCATGGGAATCACGAGATAGCTTATGTTTTGGCAATACTGTACTTTGTTTTGGTTCAGCGTTGGAAAATTTGGAGATAATCCTCCAGTAAATTAGATTGTCTTTGATTCTGATTTCTGTACACTCAACATCTTTATCTAATTGTGCCACCTTAATCAACCTTTTGCAAACCAATTAATGACAGAGAAGGTAATTAATAAAATTGGGTGTTGATTTCTGGAGTGCTAGAGATAATTTCTGGTTGTACAGTAAGATCTCATATTTCGTGCGATTTCATTTTGCATGTTTGAAGTAAAAGTGCTAAAAAATTTGAGCATTTTTTAAAAGGTAAATACCCAAAAATGTTACCTGAGTGCAGTACTCAAGTAAATTTATTAGTTAGTTTATAACTCTGTATATAACATTAGCATACTCGCATACAGAAAATTTGGTTTATAAACATATCCTTACCGCATTGCATAGAACACAATAGCCGACCATCCTAGTGAGATGACTATAAGCTCCAGGTAATTCCATGGGTCCTTCCAGTAAGTCCGTTTGTCCCGGCAAATACCCTTGAACTCTCGATATGTATAATAAATAATAAAGACAATGAAGACACCTTCGCAGATCATCACAAAGAGAGAGAAGCCTTCGTTGTACCTCAGGAGCATGATGGGGTCAATCTTGAAGGAGGGATGAAGACCACCTACAAAAACAAAGAAAACAAAAATAATAATGTAAAAAACATGATGGTGATGGATTTAGTGATTCCTAACTTAAAACTGTCTTCATAAATATAGTGAAGGGGAACTATTGAATTTATAAAAAATCAGCAAAAATCAAAAAGACTGAATTTAGCACTGAATTTGTTGGACGACTGTTATTAATAAATTGACAAGGAGGTAAAATTACCCAATTATAAAAGCTTTACATCGAATGAGACCTACAACAGTTTCAGAAATTAAGTCAAAGGGATTCAACTCTCATGTCCAATCAACTGACACAAGTAACTTGAATATGTTTATCCAAGACTTGCAAATCTATTAATTTCAAGTGGTGCAATACAGTATCTTGAATGAGGCACTCATCATTTTATATTGATCATGGTCTCCTACCAAACCGTTGTCAAGATTAAAAATTGGTCAGAGAATCCATGTGAGAAGCACAAGGGACAGTGTAAAGTGAATCATTAGCAGGGTTTTTAATTGATTAATTATGTATGGCTGAAGAGGTTCCAAGCATGAAGAAGGTTCAAGCACTAGTCTCTTCAGCAGGGGTCAGTGTGGCTGAATAAGAATCTCAAAATTATCACAGCAAAATCAAGAGTGAAAGCTACAGAAGCACCATTTAAGGATGTGATGGACAGTGTAATGGTTTATGTCTTTATGTCCCACACCAGCCATAAGAACTGAATTCATTAAAATAAATCCATTCTTTTTAGTAAAACACTTTTGCTTAACAAAGTAGTGGAATAACTTACCTTCTGGGCCCTGTTCAAGGACAATTGCACAAGCAGCAAAGAGGTTGACCTGAGCATTGTAAATAGAGAACTCAATGAAGACAGCTCGAGTCCTCTCATTAATCCAATTGTCCTTCTCTAAACCATCAATGGTAGCTAAAAGCTTATCCTTTCTTCCTGTCAGCTTCACCTGGTACCTGCAGTAAATATAGAATTATGTAAACTGTATCATATGTAATGTATGGGTTGTATAATTCATGAGCAAGGTATCACACTACATTATTTTCAGAATCAACAGTGTTTCTGCATTCTCACTAAAATTAAATACAGTAATTAATAGCTGGGGTAATATTTAAAAAAAAATGATCATCACTAACCCTCCACCACCATAGACATCTATATTTCCCCAGAAAGGCACAGTATCAAGTTCCAAGGCCCCTCGATACTTGTACTCAAATTTGGGTTTCTTTTTCTCAGGTAGCGGTCTCCAACTAACATCAAAGTCTTTTTTCTCTTCATCAATAAGTGTTGTTTTTCCACGACAGACTTTGACTGTATTCTTCATTGCTCTTGGTATCTTACATGTCCCTGAAAGTGAAATCTTGTGTTGATATTATATCTCACTATACAGGACACTTAGTACATCAGAAATCAGCTTTATCAGACATCAATTATTCACTAGAATAGGATACTTCATTTTGAGATGAATCTGATACGTCAATGGTAATCCAATCGCCAACCATGCAAATTTCCAGGTGTTGGCATCCCTAGCCACTCACTTTGTCCCATAGTAAGTAACAAAACTGCATACTGTATTAATATTAGCTTATTAGCATACATATCACAAGCTCTAGCACTTACGAGGGGTCCTGTATTATAAGCAGCATTTCTCAGGTGCACATTCTGATGCTCAACCAGCTCTTCACTGGCTTGATAAGGAGAGACTGAGATCCCCAACACCACACCCCACCACGACCCAACATTAACTCCCGTGGACATATGAAATGTTTATTCTCTTTATGTTTTTGACCTTATGATAATTATTTCTTGTATTTTTTTTACACATTCTATATGAACAATCTTGTGTGCGTGTAACTGCAAAAAAATTAATAAAATTATGTATATTTCCCCCAAAATATGAGTTGAAATATAACAATAATGCAGTTTGGCCTGATAGGGTGAGAACTAAGGGGATGTAGCTACAGGGACAGTCTAACTTGGCAACCTGCTAAGTCCACACACACGCACGCCTGCAAGCACGCACCCACTCACGCACACACACACACATGCTCTTCATTTTCTTATTTTATAACAACATGCCATCTCCATGGAGATGTAGTTTAAAATTATTATTACTATTTAATTTATATTAAGCTATTTTATATGTATCTGACTCAAATTTAATTAAATGTACAGGTATTGTTTAGTGAAAGAACAGGCAGCTTAGTTAGGTTTTGATGAATGTTAACCGTGGCCATGGAACGCAACCCCATAAGCCTTTAATCTTACCAACCATGGATTTGCCAACCATAGGGGTCCTCAGGAACCTAGCCCTAGTGGTTGGTGAGGGACTACTAAATTTAATAATCTGGTTTTATCACACAATATCATGTAAGGTACAAAGGACTTAATGTGTTATTTACTTTCCAGCTGCTTGGTGATGCAACCATCACAGAGGATAAAAATTTATGATTGAGTGAGCTATCCTCCTAGTCTCAGAATCCTTGCCTTTAGATAGCATCTTGCCATTGCATCATGAAGCGATCCTATGAGTCATGATAACTAAAACACTTCATATACAGTACTTTATTTTTAGATTACTTAACCACTCTTAATACAGTAAAGTGCTGTAAGCTATTTTTACCTTAATTATTTTTATAAACAGACCAGGCCTGGTATGGAAAGTCTTTAAAATGTCTGTATCAGTATCTCAACATCTTCTAATGATACACAAAAATTACACAACATGCAAACAAAAAATTCATAACTTCGGATTTTTTTTACTTAAATTTAAATTTTTTTTTATAAACCAGATCTCTATATATCAAGAACTACCTGTATCCTCCAATCTGAATTTCATTTAATATTATATACATACAGGGTGTTATTGGTGTTCATTGTTTGTTACTTGTGTTTTATATGTACATACTTAGATATCTCAATCTGAACTTTTGTTTGAGAATCAAAAAAATTCTGCTTTAGCCCACTTACTCTCCTCAATTCTGACTTGGCGAAGTGTTGCATAACCCAACAACAGGGAGGTGCCATCGTTCAGCATCAACTCATTGTCATGTTTAGGGTTTAAAATTCCATTGTAGTTCTCAGTCATCTTGATTTCTTCAGCAAACACAACTCGCATCCAATGGTAGAAGTATGACTTATTTTGGATCTGCAAATTCAGAGTAGAGTTTTCTAATAAGTGTTACAATAAACATGATAATCTTAAAATTACTTATTAACCCTCTCGCGCATGATGATGCGATTTGCGTCATATTCGTGATAAGACCAACTTTATGGTGACGCAAATTGAGTCACCAAACTTTAAAAAATTCGCCAAAAATTAAGTTTTAAACAGATTTGCACCAAATTTTGATGCATCATAGTAGTAAGTAAGTTCTATCAAATAAACTAATTGGCAACTCTTGAGGCCCATAGGAAGGGAAGACCAGAACAATAATTGCACAGTATTATCTCAGCAGTCAGCCCGTAAGTGGGAGCGGTGTCCATTTAAATTTCCATGACTCCGTGCGGGCTGCCTCAACTCCTCCCTCAAATAATTTCTTTTTAGTGTTAGCAGCCATTTCTTCAACTTCAAGTTTACATAAATCTTTCTGCAACTCTACACAGTTTGCTTGTTTCTTAATTTCCCTAAATAACTTGGCATCGTCCACAAACATTTATATGGAAGAGTGTATAGCTTCTGGCAGGTCATTTATGAAACAAACAACAACAGCGGGCCCAATACACTGTCCTGTGGTATCCTGCTTGTGACGGGTAAACATGACGATTTCGTCCGATTAATCACCACACACTGCTTGCAATCATAGAGAAAGTCTCTGATCTACGCTAGGACACTTCCTCGAATCCCGTACCCTTCCAGTTTAATTTTTAGCCTTTTATGGGGTATGCTGTCGAAAGCCTTCGCAAAATCTAGATATATATTTTCATTATTGCCACCTTGTTCCAGAATTCAGGTCCAAACATCACGTACCTTGAGTAATTGCGTTAAGCAGGAGCATCCTGGCATAAAAACGTGTTGGGATTCCTGTACAAGGTTGTTTCGTAGTAGATGTTCCATCATGGCATCTCTTAAATGCTCTCTAGTACTTTGCACACTATGCTGGTCAGGCTCACTGGTCTATAATTATTTGTGGGGTGACCATCGCCCTTCTTGGAGATAGGACTCACATAAGCCATTTTCCAATCACTGGGGACTTTTTGCTCATCCAGGCATTTACAGAACAAGATCTTCAGGAGTTCAGCAAGCTCATCGCACAACTCTCTAAGCACTCTGGGATGCACCATGTCAGGGCCGGGACTCTTATGAACCTTTAGCTTTGAAAATTTATTTCCTATAACCTCTTCTTTTAACACAATGTGGGTCAGCGCTGTGTTGAACCGTCTGTCCTCAAACGCAGGAAGGTTAATCACATCCTCTATTGTGAACACCGAGGAAAAGAACCTCAGCCTTGTCTCGGTCAGAATCTGCATAACTACAGCCTTCTAGCCTCAGGTCCAATACTCCAACTCGCATTTTTAATTTTGACTTTGAGTAGTGGTAAACCCCTTTTGTGTTTGAATTGACCTCACTTGCAACCAGCCTGGAACTCCTCAGCCCTTCTACACTCTAACTTTGCTTGGTTCCTGGATCTGGCATAATCCTCCTGTCCTACTCATCATTTGGGTTTTATTCTTAACTTTGCCAACTGCTACATGGTTCATGTGTAGTGGTCTCCTTGTATTCCTGGAGGCACTGGGTTTGGTCTTGGGTATATATTTCTTAATCAAATGGTCCACTTTACAGATTATGGTATTCAGCATAGTGTCTGTGGTCTTATACCTCAGTGAGTCACCCCAGTGGATATCCCTCATCTTCTCCCTCATCCCGTCATAATTTCCATTGTAATATTTGAACCTTGGCCTGATTTTGTCATGAACCAAGAAGCAGTTAGATCTGAAGGACAATGTTACATGGTGACTGGTGCCAATGGGGGCTAGGTATTCCAGCTTGGCCACCATACCCTCCTTGTTTGTTATGATGAGGTCCAGTGGCTTGGGTATTTGCTCCCCTCTGCAATGAGTCAGGTCTTTAAATGTAGGAACAGAAAATTATTTCTGAGAGTTTCTACAAAGAGAGTAGCGGGGTTATTTAAGTCATTTGGCATGTTCCCATTTCTCCAGTCGATGCTGCCATAGTTGAAGACCGCATGACAAGGAGGTGACTAGGGATGAGCATCATTGCTTTGTCTATTAAAGCTCTTACGATCCTTTGGTTTAATAAGCTACAGTTTGGGGATCTGTAGATACACCCTACAATAAATAAGTCTGTCTCTCCCTTTAATTTAATTTTACTTTGTCCAACTTTGTCCACCATAATAGATGATTGTTTATCTGAATAGGGAGAGAAGAAGCAACATTTCTGTTTCTGTGAAGCAACTTCGAGCCCAGATGAGATAGTTGCTTTTTCCTTAACTTTCCCAATGGAACCACTATTGTGGCAAAATTCAACAGACCCAGAAGTTTTTCCCAATCGTGCCAAGAAACCTTGTGCTTTACACAAAGGGCTTCTACTTTGTTTATCAAATATGTTACTTTTGTTTCTGGTAAACTGACTGACTGCTGATTTGTATCCCACTGGAGACCTAACCAATCCAACTTTTGACATGGTAATAAATATGATTTTACCTGGTTTATCTTTAAACCAAGGTTTTGAAATAGTACTAGTGTACGTTGGGTCGCCCTATGACAATCTTCGAAAGAGTGTCCCATATCAGCCAATCGTCTAGATAAGCAAAGGTTCTTCTGCCCTCCTTCGCAAGGATCTTTCTGGGAATGTTCGCCAGTTTTGTAAAGACTTTTGGCGCAATTGTCAGGCCGAATGGCATCACTGTGAATTGATAACTTACATCCCCTACTTTGAACACCGGAAATTTTCAGCCTTCTTTTATGTGTATTTACAGCTGAATCGCCAGGCAAGAAGATGAAGGTCGTGATGCAAATGATGGGGGGTGAAAAAGGGGGTTTTGAGAATTGCAATTAAATGCCAGGTAGCGACGTGTCCTCCTAATATTACTTATTAAGTAATTATTAGATGTTTTAATTGCCTGTATGTTGGCCTGGCGAGTTAGCTAGGAATTAACTTACCTAGGTAACATGCTGTGCGTCGCATTCTGACTTGAACAAAAATAAGTGTTACAGTGTCAAACAAGATAGGTATATTAATAAAGACAAGGTCAATTTGTTTTATTTTTCTAAGTTATAGAAGTTAAATATGTTTCTTTTTTGTAACTCAGAAGACATGAACACTTGCCTGACAAATTGAAGTTTTACTTACATTGAGGAAATTGATGTTAGGGGTCCAGCTCTCTGTAGCAGCATAAATGAAGTTATTAGCCAATTCATTCTTTAAGAGAAAGCTGTTTGGGTCACGGTTGCCATGACTCAATATTATCACTATCCATATAAAGAAGGCATAAGCACCCATGTCATATATGACGCCCCACATTTTGATCTCCTTCTTCCTTTGTTCACGTGCTGCCAGGAGATGACTGTCATCAACTGGCTTGTATTCCATTTTCTTCCTGTGAACATCTGTATAAATAAAAATTAAAGATTAACTTCACTAAAAGTTGATGGAGTACAGTACAGTACAGGCACTTGTAAAACAAGTTATTATGAGATGGATCCCAAAGAACGTTAACAATAATAAATCACTATACAGTATATGATCACCATTATCTTTATTTGCCAATCAATGTTTACCCCTCAGCTACCCAGAGAGAATACAATGCCTGTAACTGCCTAGTTTACAGGGTATACTATAGAGGGGCAAGTGGCGATCAAATTGAACTGTATAAACATCTCAGAGGGCACTACTAGGTTGAATGAACATACCTGTAGCTGGCAGACACCTGCCCCACAATGGGTCACATCTCAAGGTTGAAGAAGCCACAAGTCCAAAAAACAGTGGGGGCAAATTTTTTCAGAGTGGGAATTGTGAACTCTTGGAACATTCTGCCAGAGTGTTGTGACGGCACTGAGTGTGAGCTCTTTCAAGGCCAGACTTAACCAACATTGGAGCAGGTTCCAATACATTCTGGAGCCAGTTCATGCCCAGTACTTGCCAACAGTGCATAGACCAACCGCCCAAGTGGCGAATGAGCCAATCAGTGGCGAAGAGGATAAAAGTAAAGACAAGTGCATGGATCTCAGAACTCACCTGAAGATTCGCCCCCAACACTACCCGGAGATATTCTTCGGGATACAGTGGACCTCAGTAGTCACGTAAATATTGCCCCCCCCCCCCCATACTACATCACCTGAAGTTTAACCACACCTACGCTGCCTGAGGATATTCTTCAGTGGACAGTGTACCACCTGGTGGTCATTGTATATTCTTAACTAAAGTGTGCAAATACCACGTGCATTATTTACATTAAAGTGTGCAAATATCAAGAACGTTATTTGGATTATAAGTGTGTATATCCTCATGTCATGTTTTTAATTGCATACTACAATAATTATGATTATATAATTACTTTTATTATATAAACAATGAACCAGCAAAATAGACCAAAACAGCCTGTTAGGCTATTTTCCTGTGACCGGTACTATAAGTCACCGCCAATTTTACATACAGTGGTCCCTCGGTTAACGAGCGCCTCGGTTAACGAGATTTCGGTTAACGATTTACCTTCCATAAGATTCTTAACTTCGGTTAACGAGCAATCCCTCGATTAACGAGTTTTTTACGAGCCGACTTCACATGTTTTCGCTTGCATTTGGCAGTCCACCAGCTGTAGTATTAGTCCGCCAATATAGTGGTCCCTCGGTTAACGAGCACAATCCGTTCCAGCAGGTTGCTCGTTAACCGAAACCATTGTTTGAATGGGTTTTTGGGTAATTGGTTCCAGCTCACCGAAAATTGCCTAAATTCAACAAAAAAGGTAGAAAAGTTCACTTACTTTGAGGTGTGTATGTAGAAGGCTCCTGGATGATGATGATGATGATGATGGGAATTAGAATGTAATCGTAATTGTAAAAGTACTAAGGTCTTAAAATATTAAGATCATGTTTACAGAGCTACCATAATACAATACAGTATTTTGTTTACTCTGAGTAAATATGTTATCTTTTGTGCAAAATATATGACATTTATATTCAAAATATTCCTGGTCTTACAAGGAATCCAGCAATGTCAATTATATTATCCTAGCTTTAGTCTGAGGTATTATTTATTTCTATACCTTAAAATCTAGTGGTTTTCCCCCAAACATTTCTCAGAGAGGAAAGAGCCAGCAAGTGTGAGAAAAGGGGGAGGGAGCTGAGTCCATTATTTGAATGGACATTAACTTGGCGACTGTATTTCTCTATTTCTCTTAAGTATTAATTGTGTGCATGTACCATCATAAAATTAAGTTGTTATTTCTACTAGAACATAGGTATTGTGTCGGAAAAAGTGGAGTTTGGGGGTCAGCTGGTCTCTATTTCATTTAATCCCATATGTTATGTTGTTCACTTTATGCGTTTCTCGCTTTACGCGGACCTCCGTGGGTTAAATTGACCGCGTAAAGTGAGGGTTCACTGTATAAGACTTTTAAAATTATTGAATAGTACAAACTTCTTGATATTTACTAAAATAGTGAGGAATTTAAGCCCTAGAACCGATTACTGTATTGGCGGACTAATACGACAGCTAGTGTGCAAGAGAAAAAATGTTGAGGTCGGCTCGTAAGGAATTCGTTAATCGAGGGAATGCTCGTTAACCGAAGTTAAGAATCTTATGGAACGTAATTCGTTAACCGAAATTTCGTTAACCGAGGCGCTCGTTAACCGAGGGATCACTGTACAGAACTAACTCACCTCCAAGCTCATGCATCCATTCCTCATCTTCACCCAACTCAGGATCACTCTCATCTCTGTCAGCATCATCCTCATCATCATTGGGTTTCTTGCAGATAGCACTGAAGATCATTGCCATTGCAAACACCTGTCAATGAATGCATATAGTAAAGTATGACAGAAACTTACACATTGTTTTAACAGTCTTCTCATAATGAAAAAATGTTAGAAAAAAAAGTGCTTTTCCCAATTCATTATCAATAATCATCATATACACTGCCCCCCTCGGTTAACACGAGGGCTGTGTTCCCAGAAAATGGTGTGTAGAGCGAACCCATTATAACATGGGGAGATAGAGGATGCGTCAGGTGGATCCCAAAAATACCCCCCCCCACCCCACAACCAAAGTTCAAAGACATCATATAGCTCTAAAGTAGCTCACCAATACAGAAATACCCTGATCATTGCAAAGGATGCATAAATGTGGGCAATATATAAAATAAAATAAAATACTGTACAGCATGCCCTAAAAATTCGCAGGAGTTACGTTCTTAAAATGACCACGAATAGCTAAATCCACAAATAACATTTGCTGACCAGAGGGGGGGAGTCATTTTTACTCGTGTGCAAAGAAATCTACATCCCTTTGTGTTTGCCCTAAGGACAATTATTTCTTTTACACACACACACATGCTGTACAGGTAAAAGAAATTACTGTCTCTAGAACGAATGGCTCCCTGTTCCGGCTGTGAAAATGCCAGCAATTTTAAAACTACCCACAGACATTCTTGGGTACATCCACGGTGTCATCCGTGAATAATCGAGGTCCGCAAATTAAAATTTTGTGAATTGTCAGGGCATGCTGTATGGCCACTTGGCAATCGTGTCTACACGCAGGATAAGGAAACAGGAGCGGTTAATAACTCCGACACTGCTCTCCCGTTACACCCCATGTGTCTCAAACACATGCACAAGTTCCTCAGACTTTCTGCGCCCTTACTCCTCAGTGTTTACTTAACATTCATACTTCCCAAGCTCACCTATGCCTCCTCTGCCTGCTCTTCCTCCCTAAATGCCACACAATGGAAACACCTGGAAAAAAGTGCAAAAGAGGGCATGCAAGATTATTCTATCCCCTCCTTCTCCACATATCGAGAAGCGCTCAACACACTGACCCTCTTGGTTCTCTCTGATCAATACCACGACCTCATCTGCAAATTTTGTGAGAAGCTTCTGCACCATCCCAGACACCGGCTCCTACTTTCACTCCGAGATCCCTTGTTCGCGAATTGCTGTTCACTGAGTGACTTAAAGGCAAGGGATAGTCACAACGATCTAAACGACTCACAAAGAAAATGCGTTTTGGTCGCCATGCTGACCCAAAGTCGTATAAGAAAATGTCCCAAATACAATAAATGAGAGACACAACAAAATAAAAGTCACTCTACTTCATCACTGTGCTATTAAGCACAAATACCGTATATAATATCCTTGCGGAGGTGAGTATTTCAGCAATTAGAACACAAATTCACGGAGCTTCCCTTTGTGTGTTTTATAGCTGAATCACCAGGCAAGAGATGAGGTTCGCGATGCGCATAGTGGCGGGGTGAAGGAAGGGATTTGAAAATAGCAATTAAATGCCAGGTAGCGACGTGTCCTAATATTACTTATTAAGTAATTATTAGATGTTTTAATTGCCTGTATGTTGGCCTGGCAAATTGCCTAAGAATTAACATACCTAGGTAGCATTGCTGACGTCGCATTCAGAGCTTGAACAAAAATATCCAATTACAGATTCTGGCATTTAGCTACAGTACAATATACAGTGTTTTCATCTTAGCTACTTGTTTACATGTACTGTACAGTAATTCTCCAGATTTTTCACACATTTACCAGCATCGCTAATAGACAGCCAGCTATATTGAGTACACATTTTAGCTCTCAGTTTGTGTTGCAGATTTGGGCTCAATTCCATTTCAAAATAATCAAGAGAAATTTCAATTCAGTGACTGAACATTTGTAATTTATTGTGGTTTATTTCCCAATAAAAATTGGGGTTTTGGGCAAAGAAGCCTCCCCAAGAAGCATTCCCAAAACAAGGTGAAGGTAGTTTTAGGCTTCAAGTTTTTATATTATAAAATGTCACAGAATAAACTTAGCAGAATATAACATGCATTGCTGGAATCCTTGCAAGATAGCGAATAATTTGAATATAGACATCATATACAGTATTAAAAAAAATAAAAAAAAATAAAAATTGTCCTTTAATGTATTACATCGAGTACAAATGAGTACAGTGATGCTGCTCAAAATTATGGCTTTTTCACAGGAAAAAGTCTGTATAACTAACCCCCATGATCAGGATAATATGTACTGTAGTTTTGGTGTTTTTTATATCATTATTTATCGTTTTTATACATTTTGTACATTCGCCTGATGATTCGGACAATCGGCTTTTCCAGACAGGTGGTCCCCCCTTTTAGTCCGGATCTTCGAGGGTTCACTGTATTTAAAAATTAGATAAAATTTAAACCTTTAAGAAAAATTTCTTCCACAATTCATTGAATTGAAATCAAACTGAACCCAACACTGTTGTACTGTATAGGTTATGGTTTTCATATTGGGTCTGGAGAATTGCTGCCACACAGTGTCCTCCTTTTTGGGGTTATGTAAGTGACCACCTTAACCCCAACCCCCCAGGACCTTCAGGGAAGAGATTACCCTCTGATTTGGCTTGTCTTTATATTTTGAAGTAAAATGGCATATTAAATTTCATATTTTTTTCTATCATTTAATACTGTACGTTATATTACTTACGATCAAACATACACCATAAGAGGTTGATCATACGAGAATATAATTATGAATAAATAAAAACAAACTAATGAACGTGGCAACAGCCCCCCACCTCCAGCACGTTTACAGATGGTGTCATCTCTTGTACCTATTAGCTCTTGTTAGGCATTTATCAAATCTGATTAGACCGCTGTACAGCATCCAAAATATCAGAAAAAGTCATACGTTATTGAGAGGGTTTACTGTACTGTACTGCGCACATCATTGTCATCCCTAAAAACCCCATTTAATTTATATTACGCTACATAACATTCAAATGCACCGCGCTTGTAGAACCTCAGAAAACGGGAAACACTGAGAAAGGACAACTCACCTACTCAAGGTTCCTAGACCATGTGTTGTACTGTACTCAGGTATAGTTATATCATATCAAGTGTATGTATTCATAGCATTAAGGATCACTCAGGGTAGGCATAAGATGAATGTTAAAGTCCAGTTGAGCCGGACTAGTGTACTGTAAGACTAAGTGTGGATCAGGGTTTGAAGGTCATACTATTTACGTCTGTGAGCGTGTAGCGAACATAACTCCAACAGATATCATATGAAAATACTTGAGAACAATGATCTGGAAAAAGGATAAATGTATCAGAACTATGTGAGGGGTTGACAGTGATCTAGAAACTATACTTGAAAGGAAATATCGTGTATGCGTCGGTATGAATTTAATACACCTCGTAGCCTCACGTGACATATACCCACGACAGGTACAGTGATCAGAGAATCTTATGTCTGTGTTCAAATAGTGCAATGTGTGAGAGGAAGATCCCTCATTACAGTTTTTAAGTGAAGTTGATACACCCCCGCAATGATCATTCGGCCTTTGTTTCAAGGCGCGTCATGTACCCGCCTCAGATGCCACGTTGATATTATAATCCCAGGCATTTACCCAAGCACTAGCCAACCAAGACCTGACCTTAGTGTATAAGTTAGGATTAAAATATGTGTTTATAAGACATGAGTGACAATATACCGAAAAGTGTTCAGGTGAGAACCATAAGAAACAAAAGTGTAAATTGGGGATTGGAAACTGTAGGCCTATGTGACGAGGAGCGGCGGGGCACTGGCCTCAGTCTTCTCCGTTCTACCGTCACCTCAGGTCAGTGTCCTAGCGGGCTATATCCCGCCCTATAATTAAGGTTGATAAATAGAAGTTACTACAGTTTAAAGCTTTGCCGGATATATAAGTGTGATAGGAATGTGTTAAGGGGTGGGATAACCGCCCGTCAGGCATTATTTCTCAGTCTTCTCCGTTCTACCGTCACCTCAGGTGCCATGTGGTCGGAGTACCTTGCCGCCCGGCCGCCATTGTCCCTTTGAGCGTCACAACAGGTGGGGACGACTCCCCGCTATGCCAGTCCACTGTGAACATGTGGATTTCCAGCGCACCACTCCAAATGAATAGTCACAACTAAGAAGACCGTGAGAAACTGCGGTCGTTACTTGGAGCGACCTATAATACCAGGCGTAGAAATAGTGCTGGTATGTCTCTAGGTGAAGCCCTCGTCTTTACCCACCGAGGGCGGTGTGCGAACGAGGTGCCTGTTGTGTATACCTAAAAGTCACAAGGAGTCACATACTTGCAGGTATGGAGTGTAACAGGTGTGTTGAGATGGTGCTACTATGTATGATAACCGACGGTGCTATATTCCACACAGGTGGAGCAGTCTGATGTGTTAAGGGATATTGTAAGAAGGAACGACCGAGGTACGGTGGTCACAGATTGTTATGCAATAAGTAGGTGGATGACACGCCATCAATGTAAGAGTCTGGGGCCCATCTGGGTAACCACATTTCCGTTGTTCTTCTGAGGAAGGCCAATTCATGTATATGTTTTTTACCAGTATGTTTTATAAGGAATAAATCAATTAAGACATGTTATGGTTTCACCCTTCTTTACCCTTATCGATCTGGTCAATGGAAAACCTAACCCAATGCCTAGTCTACTCTGCCCGCTACCTAACGAGCTACATGCTGTCCAGAGGGGGTCTGGTGGCAGCGACCCTTAGGAATTAAGATTAGAGTTAAGTTATCCCCTTAGATTTAGTGACCCCAGATCTGGCAGTATAGTACAAGCATTGATGAATGTGAGACCTGGCTATAACACACTAAAATATGCTTAAACAACAAGAAATGAAGCAGTGATCCTCACTGGAACCACCTGCTTTTTATGTGGGTGGGACCAGGAATGAAAAGGTTAATTCTGTAATGGGCCCCTGTCTCATCAACAGAACATATTATATAAATGGGTCAATACATCTGATATTATATTCAGATTCACCACCCTGTAACTTTCCACTGGCTATGAGGTGACATGTTCAATGCACGTGATAAGGTGTGCCCACAGGATGCTGCGTCATACTATGCTGAGTAAAGGCATAAGTAGCCGGCTCTCTGGCCACCTGAAGCGAGCAGTAGTTTGATATCCTTGACTAGAGGAAGACGTTATTTGAGAGCCGCAGTGGATGGCTCCGTCTTCCCTCGAGGGGGAACGACGTAACCATACCGTTCTCCCTCGATGGGTCACTACTCATGAGTCGCTCACATCAACTTATATCGTAAGGACGTGACCTAACGTTTATAATACATAAACGCCGTCCCTTTCTCATTCACTCTTAAACAGTGGAACTTACGGTCGATCTACACTCAGGAAATATATATATACAACCCTTTTATAATAAAACAAGGAACTACCGTTTGGGTTTCATTACTTAAACCCAAATAATAAATATATGTGATCGGCCTGGTTAATTGCACAAGCAGCCGATTCAATTCCTGAAAACTATGTGAGGCTGATACAAGTAGAAGGGTCAGGTATGAACTAATTAATGCTATGTGATGATCTTGTCTGTCCCACTCCCTTAGTTTACTAGAAAAAACTGCTTCCAATCTCCCATTTAGGGTGGTGGTTTCAATAGGAGAGGACAAACTAACTAAGATTCATCTCAGCCAATAACAGCATGTCTCCAAGGTGTACACCACTGGTGTAGACAGCAAATAACATAAGTTTTAGCCACCAGGCCATACATCTTTTCATCGTCATGTACAACTCAATCCAGTTTCTTTTATCTTTATTTGAAATATGACAGAAAACTCAAGGGTACCTTTGTTCATACAGTGTGAAGTAATTTTTATGTATGCATTTTCTTGTTATAATGTATAACACTTCTAGCTCTTCAATGTTTTCTTTTTGAAATGATCACTGGCTAAACTGGCCATTTCAACTACACTTTTACTTTTAACCTCTTCACCACTTATCGGCTCGTTAGCCGCTTGGGTGATCAGTCATGTCTCTCTTATGCACTGTTGACAAGTACTGGGCATGCACTGGCTCCTGAATGTATCTGATCCTGCTCCAATGTTTGTCAAGTCTGGTCTTGAAAGAGCTCACACTCGGTGCCGTCACAACACTTTTTGGTGGATTGCTCCAAGAGTTCACAACTCTCACTCCGAAAAAGTTACCCCTCACGGTTTTCTGGACTTACGGCTTCTTCAACCTTGAGCTGTGACCCCTTGTGTGGCGAGCGTCCTCCAGCTACAGGAAAAAACACTCGACTGAATAGTGCCTGATGTTTATACACCTCAATTAGGTCCCCCCTTGCCTGTCTGTAGTATAAGCTAGGCAATTTCAGGTGCTCTAATCTCTCAGGGTAGCTGAGGTGCTGAAGTGCAGGCACCAGTCTGGTGGCCCTCCTTTGAACATTTTCAATCAACTGACAGTCCCTAGCATATCTCGGGGACCAGACGAGGTGACAGTACTCAAGACAAGGAAGCACCTCACTCTTGAAGATCGTTACGAGGGACTGACAATCTTGATATCTGAATGACCTTCTTATAAGACCTAATAATCTAGTTGCCTGATTCACCTTCTTCTCGCAATGGACTGAGAACTTCAGCTCATTGTCAACATACACACCTAGTTCCTTTTCACATTCAGTCTCAATTAATGCAGTTTCTTCATTCCGTTGGGACAGATGATACGCCTCCTAACTATTGGTACATCCCAGGTGTAGCCTCTTACACTTCATGACATTGAATCTTAGCAGCCAATTTTTGAAGCTTACAGAGATCCTTCTGCAGGTCTTCACAGTCTGCTTGGTTTTTAATTTCCCAAAATAACTTGGCGACATCCGCAAACATTTATATGGAGTTATGTACAATGTCAGGCATGTTATTTAAGAAGCAAACAAACAACAGCAGGCCCAATACACTGCCCTGTGGTACCCCGCTTATGATGGGTACACATGATGATTTCATGCTATTAATCACCACACACTGCTCGCGGTCTTGGAGAAAGTCTCCGATCCATGCTAGGACATTTCCCCGAATCCCATACCTTTCCAGTTTAATTTTCAGCCTTTCATGGAGTATGCTGTCGAAAGCCTTGGCAAAATCTAGGTATATATTGTCAATATTACCACCCTGTTCCAGAATTCAGGTCCAAACATCCAGTACCTTGAGTAATTATGTTAAGCAAGAGTGCCCTGGCATAAAACCATTGTTGGCAATTCTTTACAAGGTTGTTTCATAGTAGATGTTCCATCATGGCATCTCCAATAATCCTCTCAAGTATACTTTACATACTATGCTGATCAGGCTGACCGGTCTATAGTTATGCGTGGAGTGACCATCGCCCTTCTTGAAGATAGGAGTCACATAAGCCACTTTCCATTCACTGGGGACCTTTTGCTCATCCAGGCATTTACAAAACAGGATCTTCAGGGGCTCGGCAAGTTCGTTGCACAACTCTCTTAGGACTCTAGGATGCACCAGGTCAGACTAAAAACTAATTAAATTTGCATTTACCTTATAAGTGAAACTTTAGTGACTCATTCCTATATTGTCTTCAAACATTTATGGTTTAATTTCATCACCCTGAAATGCTAAAGTTTGTTGTGCTTGTGTACTGATTATTAATACATAACACACTGCCCCTAAGACTACCAGGTTCTTCAAATTATGTTTGAACTTTCTACCTAAACACTTATTGGAGCCCCTACACACCACAATGTTCAATACACTCTGGGATAATATTACTATGGTACTTACCTGGATAGGCTGTGTACATAAGACAGAGGAGAAAAATGATATAAATAAGCCACTGAGCCACTTTGCAGCTTCCTCTTCACCAAATGAAACTCCATAGAAGAAGGTGAAACACCCTCCAGCAATAATAGTGAGTACGGCAACCAACCAGGCAATATACAACATCCACCTGAAAAATGAGAAGCACAGTATTGTAATTTTCTACTACTGAACCTGTCAATAATAACATAATGAGCATTTTAACATTGTATTATTTCTCTTTTATCCAGAACCTCAAATTCACTATTAGTCTTGCTGTCCATTACAATCATAATAGTTCCTACCAAAGCCACAGGGTTACATTCCGACACACCTTGCTGACTATAAATAAAATATTTGGTTATGTTACCAAATAAAAAAAAAATACTATTCTAAAATTCGCTTAAATCTCCAATATGTTTTTTATCTTTCACTTGATATGTTCATAAAACGTCCAGTAAAAAGAGAGTACAGGTTGTACCTCTTTAGTCCAGCATTCTGTGGTCTGGAAACTCCTGTGGTCCGGAATTATTTTAGTTTGCCCAATAGGTAGATAAGCAATTTTTTTTTCTTTTTTTTACTTATCTGAATTATCATTATTATTATTATTACAGGAGTAATGCATTTTCGCCCCTCAGGCCCAATGTGGGTCAGTGACCTGTGCCCGGGTGGGCTAATCCCCGTAAAAAAACAACAACAAAGCCGCGGTAAATTAAGGTTTGTTTACATCCGGCAGTTCGGCTCTCTCTGTTTGTCTATACAGAGTACAACATTTAACCCTTTAACATATATATATATATATGAGCAGTAAATAAGTGTTGCTTTCATATTCTTATGTAGAGTAGTGATGATATGTTTTCACATGCGCTCACTTACATACGTGATCTCAGTATTTTCCTTTACCATTAATGATTAGCTACTTTTAATGTTCTATTTATTAACATTAAATAACATTACTTCAAACAACCATATTAATTTTTACATTAATTTTACTACAGCTACAACCAGGGTCTTAGTTTTCTTGTTTTATATGTACAACCAATCAGTCACTGGTTTTGGAAACATTAACGAAAAAAATGCCGGCAGCCGTCTCGTCTCCTCGTGTGTTTTGATATTCCACGAATTATTAATGAATTGTATTGTTCATTTTGCACACAAACATTAATTCAATAAAAAAAATCAGAAACATTAATTAAAACATATATGAACAGTAAATAAGTGTTGCTTTCATATTCTTATGTAGAGTAATGATGATATTTTTTCACATGTGCTCACTTACATACGCGCAGTCTCACTTTTTTCTTTAACATTAATGGTTTGTGTAGGTTATGTATCTAAGCTACTGTGCCGAGTAGCAACCTTGTATATAAGCTACTGTGCCGAGTAGCATCTATGTATGTAATTACATGGCAACAATGCACGTGTTATGTGGCAACATTGCCCCGAGGCTGCCATATGGCAATGCAGCCTCAGTCTGACTCCGTGGGTCGTGTATGGCACTTCATACGCACGCGGCTCATTACTTGTATCTCTCCCTATCCGTTAATAAATGGACTTTAGTGTTACCCGGTGTTTCCCTACCCATCACTGCCTTCTTCAGGGAACACTTGGAACCTTCAGTTTGCTACTTTTATTGTTCTATTTATTAACAATAAATAACATTACTTAAAACAACCATATTAATTTATTACATAAATTTTACTACAGCTACAACCAGGGTCTTATTTTCTTATTTTATATGTAAAACCAGTCAGTCACTGGTTTTGTAATCAACGAAAACAATGCGGTCTCATTTCCTCGTGTGTTTTAATATTCTACGTATTATTAATGAATTGTATTGCTCATTTTGCACACATAAACATTAAGTCAATAAAAAAGACATTCAGTAATAAACAATAATGAATCTTTTGTACATAAGAGAAATGACGCTGTTTACACGCTTGTGCACGTCTGAACGGTCTGAACGTTGGCGGACCGCTCAAACCCGTCAAAATTCGAGTTTCCGCCGTCAAAATTTTAAATTATGTAGTGGTTTTTTGTGTGTCCAAATAAAAAACGTTGAATTAAAAACTCGCGAAATTTGAGAAGCTACTGTACGACATTTAACCCTTCAATATGTCTTCAAAGAAACCACGAAGCAGTGAAAGTGGTGCTAACGTAAGTGCAAGTCACTATCTGTCCAGGAAAAGGGTGAATTTCCATGGTCCGGAAATTTCCATGGTCCGGCACCAGTCAGGTCCCGAGGTTGCCGGACTAGAGAGGTACAACCTGTACTAGTAATGTTAACAGAATGTATGAGGTAGTTTTAAGTAACACTAGTAACCCAGAGAGAATGCAACCCCAAGAGAAACAGCAAGACATCGTTGGGTTAAGAAAATGTGTAGCAGAGTAAATTTTATTTACCAAAATATCACTCACCATTTAGAAAGGACATTACAACAAGAAGTGGTGATGTACTAATGTATGTCAAGGAACACCTGACAGTAACCAGAAATGATGAGCTAAATGAAATGGGATCATCCAAATCTAATTGGTGTAATCTGATAGCACAAAAATAACAGTAGGTGTGTGCTATAAGGTTGACTCAGAGGGGGAAGTGGCAGATCTTCATAGTCATCTAGACAGCAACCAGAACACAAGCTCTGGATCTTCACCAGATGATAAATTGGATGACTCTTACCTCACAAGCTGAGGGAGAATAATTTCTTCACCTCATTGAAGACTCATTCATCACACAACAAGTGACAGAACCCATGAGAGACAACATTCTGAATTTGGTATTGACAACTAAGGAGGCATTGGAGGATGAGATTCACGTCCGAGGAAACACTAACTTCAGTCACTACAAAATAAGATAGAATGCAATCTTCGAAAGTTGGGAGAAAGTAGTTGAGGAGGGATACTAAGACTTCAACCATGGAGATTACCAGTTTTTGAGAGACAAACTACAGAGAATTAACTGGGTGGATATCGCTAATGAGAAAACAGATACATGTATAGACAAACCATTGCAAGATTTTATGGGTACCATGTGAGGAAGTGCAGTGGGCAATGAAAAAGCTAGGGTTAAGGTACGGTGTCTTGTATTAAGGTTTGAGAATCTCTGGAAGAGCAAATGGATAGAAAGTGAGGAATCTGGTGAAATAAGGGACCATGAAGGGTTTGTTTTGAGCCTCCTTACTTTTAAGGGTGCCGTATGTGCAGGTAATCATATGGCCTTAACAAGGATGAAAAGGCTCAATATTGGGGATATATGCCTTGGATTGTGTTGAGTTACAAGAGTGTGAAGTAGATGGAAGAATCTACAGATGTATTGCCATTATTGAAAATGAGAGGACTTTCTCTTCAAGTGAAAGAAAAGATGTATGCAACCGGCATGGGAAGGGCTCCCGGACAGATGGCCGAAGGACATTTGGCCGACGGACGTTTCACTGACGGACATTTGACCGAACGGACATCGGGCCAACGGACATCGAGCCAACGGACATTTGGCCGAACGGACAATAGACCGAACGGACAAATGGCCGAATGGACATTTGGCCAAATGGACATATGGCCTTTTTAATCTATTTTTTATTTTTCTTTCTTCTTTGCAATGTTTTTTTTGCACATTTACTAAAGGATAAAAGATATTTATTGTAATGTAAATGCTTCTTTGCAATGTATTTGCTTTATAAAACAAAGGATAATAAGATAACATAATTTCAATGTGATACATTTGCATGATATACAATTTTTTTTTCTTCAATATTTGTTTCTTTTAAGACCATGGAATTCATACCAACGACAAGAGGAGGAAGAAGGCATTTGCTTGACGGCTACGCCTACATCGTTGATAAACGGAAAGACAATGTAATATATTGGTGATGTGAACGCAAAGGAAGTTGTTGGCCAGTGGTCTTTGAAAGCAAGAAGCTGTAAGTTTCGAGGAGTTGACAGAATTAGCAGGTTGTCACTTTCATGGATGACAAAGTCGTCTCCTCTACTTGATTTCCGTAAGTCGTCAGTTAAAAGGTCCCCATCTGGTGCCTTGCGTTGTCTGCACACCATTCTTGCCAGAGTTTCTTTCTTAGGAAGAGCACCTGCAGCATCAAGTGGGTACTCACTGGTGCAGTTTTGTATAATAGTCTATGTCACTTCCTCCGACTGTCTGGCTCTTTCTTTAATTTTCTTTACTGTTTTCAAGGACAGGTTACGTCCGGCATCAGGCGGACGTGAGTGATTACTTGCTTCTTGAATAACGTCTTCTTCTGTTTTTAATCGTCCCCAACAACTTCCTTTGTGTTCACATCGCCAATATATTACGTTGTCTTTCCGTTTATCAACGATGTAGGCGTAGCCGTCAAACAAAAGCCTTCTTCCTCCTCTTGTCGTTGGTATGAATTCCATGGTCTTAAAAGAAACAAATATTGAAAAAAAAATTGTATATCATGTGCAAAAAATACATTGCAAAGAAGAAAGAAAAGGAAAAAAGAAATTAAAAAGGCCATATGTCCATTCGGCCAAATGTCCGTTTGGTCTATTGTCCGTTCGGCCATGTGTCCGTTCGGTCTATTGTCCGTTCGGCCATTTGTCCGTTCGGTCTATTGTCCGTTCGACAAAATGTCCGTCGGCTCGATGTCCGTTTGGTCAAATGTCCGTCGGTGAAACGTCTGTTGGCCAAATGTCCTTCGGCCATCTGTCCGGCCACGCATGGTAAGTGTGTTGTTGTATGGCAGTGAAACATGGGCAGTTATAAATGGATGACCGATTTAGCCTAGCCTTGAGTGAGTTGAAATGAAAATGGTGAGATGACTGTAATGCGATGTTTTGTGTAGAGGTAGGTCGAGATGATTCAGCAGTGCGGAGGAAACAAACTGGGTGAACAGATGTACAACTCTGAATGCAGAGGGAAGAAGAACCAGAGATAAGCCAAGAATGACATGGAAAGAGGTTATGGGAAATTACCTGAGATAAGAACCTGACGATAGAGGCTGCAAGAGACTCGGCAGCATAGAAAACTGCCATTAAGTAATCGTGGATAACCAAAACAAGTGCAGAAATTAACATTTAATCCTCTTCTTCCTTGTGTTTATTATTTGAACACATCATAAGAAGACCAAAATGAATAATAATGTTAGTTTCCCCATGTTTCAGTTAAGTTGAAAACCATTACATGTGACACCAAAAGTTAAATGTCCTTTTATATCTGTATTAACTACATCAACTAACCATGGCAACTGTTTGACTTTTTTCTTGGTTGTGTTGTGTGCTGGTTCAGAAGGTCTGTGGCTGCTTCCACCTTCATCTTCAGTATCTGTCTTTCCCTTTAAGAGTCTCCACTTTTTTTGCTCTTCAAATTCACGACGTTTCTGTTCACCTGTTAATTAAAAGTGTCTTAATGTGGTTTCGATGGCAGATTTCAAAACTGATCATCAGTAAAATTGAAAAGTTAAATTCTACTGACATCATATCCAGATTAACTGTGAATATTTACTGGAAATATGAATTTTTTTAAATGAATACTGTACTTTATATAAATAAAAAAAAAGTGGTGAATAATATATTATACATTTTAAAGCTTGTGTACTTTAATGCTGTAGTCACAGCCATAGTGAGTTTTCAAATGAGTACAAAACAGATGCTACCATCAGATATGGATGTCTAGACCAGGTACTGCACACCTCAGTTCGAGATATCCTTGGCACTTCACACTTGGAGTTTCTCAAAAGATGTTTAAATAGATTGTTGAGTAATTCCAAAACAGTTAACCAAGTGATAGCAGGTCATAGACCCCAAACTTCTATGCAATATGAGAAAGCTTGGAAACTTTTTCAAAAATTTATCAGGTTAACGACTCCAATCACATTGTCGGAAATAGTGGTGTTAGAATTTTCAGATTTTCTGGATCTACAATTGCATCTTATAAATCAGCATTGGTTGACCCTCTGGCGTCCAGGCAGCGACGTGCCCTCCTAATATTACGTATTTAAGTAATTCTTTGATGTTTTAATTACCTGTATGTTGGCCTGGTGAGTTAATGCTAGGCATTTGCATACCTAGGTATAAAGCTAGACGCTGCATTCTGGACTTTTATCACAAAAACTGGTTTTTAGAAAAAAGGTTTTTTTTTCAAAAAACCAGTTTTTGTGATAAAGTCCAGAATGCGACATCTAGTTTTATACCTGCATATGTATATGCCTAGCATTAACTCACCAGGCCAACATACAGGCAATTAAAACATGTAATAATTACTTAAATATGTAATATTAGGAGGACACGTCGCTACCTAGCATTTAATTGGAAAAAAGAAAACAAAAAGATAAAACGATGTGGATTTGAAAAAATGGGTAAAATTATAAAAAAATCATATGAAAAGGACAAGATTTGCTCACTGAATACAGAGGTGTAATCAGATTTGCTTTACACCTACAGAGCCATGAATAATGGGAGGGAAGATAGAGCATATGTGACCTGGTGGAAGGATAGGGCATTATTCATTACACACTTGTCACATCTTATGCTGGGGGTTATGTTCTCAAGTTGGTGCCTAAAACCCAAAATGCATGTAGTCAAAATTACCCTTGAAAATCCCTTAAATCACCCATAAAGTACATGGTTATATATACCTGTCAATAGTGCACCTGGCAACTTGGCTGGTTAGGTCAATTTCAGTTTAAATGTGCACAAAACACAGAATATGCCAAAAAAAAGTATAAAATAATTATCATAAGATAAAAAACATAAATGGAATTAATCTGTGTGTAGGAGCAAGAGCTAAAGGTGGGAGGGAGAGAGCTACAGCTGGCATTTCCTCACTCACTGCTCTGCCCTCTCACCATGTCCTGCTAAATGAAAATGCAGCATACCTGTATTTTCATTTATATATTTTTTTTCTCACATTTACTAACACAGTATACATGTATATTATTCTATGTACAAAGACTACGGGTAATTTCTTCCACACACATACCTCCCACGCATCCAGTTTGCAACACAGCTTAGGTACTTACACACCCCAGCCGACTCACAGACGTGTGGTGGCCACCGTGGAGGGTGTGTATGTCGTGACGTCACATCACAAATTTAAAGCCCAGTCACCCACTGCCTCATAACACATTTACTTCCCACATATGCTCTTTACTTATCTTAATTTATAGTTTTCTATTATATTTTCCATATTTCTAAGCCACATTACAGTATTGTAATGATTTTGTGACAACTTTTATAGTTTCATTACAAATAAGAATAAACGAGGCTGCTGTCCTGGCGAGTCGGCCACATAGTTTATAGCCAAGAACTTTGCTAGAACCGCCTCCATACACGTTCACTTCTCACACATACACACCAATACTTTTCGTTTTCTTGTTTTATATTATATTTTATTTATATTTAAGCCACATGAGAATAGTGTAATGATCTTGTTACAACTTTTATAGTTTCATTAAAAGCAACAATAAATGCCGCGGATAGGCTGGTGAGTCGGAGATGTAGTTATAGCCCACCACCTACACACAAGTTCACTTCCCACACATGCACACCCATGCTCTTCAATTTTCTTATTTTATAGTTTTATAATATATTTTCTTTATTTTTAAGCCACATCATTTATATAGAATAGAATAATTGTAAAAAATTTCCTTTATTTTTGAGAGCCACTCCAGGAGTCAGCTGTGGCCTGGAGAGATGGTAATGCATATTGCCATTGTTACATATAATTAAACTATAAAAGATCTGGAAATATCATTCAATATTGTATTCAGATCTGACTTAGAAATAATAAAAATATAATATAAAACTATAAAATAAGAAATATGAAGACCATGGGTGTCTATTCTGTGTGGGAAGTGATCGTAAGTGTGGAAGCAGTGGGCAGTTTGTCAATAGCACATCTGGTGAATCGGCTAGTTAGGCCTATTTCAGTTTAAATGTGCACCACACAACCACCTCTGCTGTAAGTTTACTTTATCCTCTTTGCCACTGATTGTCAAGTTGATTTCAGCAGAGAATATTTAGGAAAATAATAAGAGCATAAAAAACCTAAAATTTATACAAGATAGTGTACACAATGCATCACAGCTCAGCTGGGATTATGCTGCCTCTGCCGACTGACCCTTAGCAGTACACCTCTGCTCAGTACACAATTGCATCTGTTAACATCGCTGGCAGCATTGTAGCCAAATTAGACTCGTCACTGTAACCACCAGGCTGCTGGGCCAAGCTGTTAGGTGTTATGGTTGTTTTTCAACTCGCAATTTTGATTAGATATACATGACTTTCTTCATTTATTTTTATTCAATTACATGCACACACTATCCTACATACATAGTGGAAAAAAATATAAGAAATAATTGTCATAAAGGCAAACACACAAAAGGAATATACATTTCTTTCACTCGAGTTAGCAGGTTCAGTGAAGGAGTGGAGGAAGGCACAGAGTGTAGGGTGGGGGGAGTGTTGCTGGTCTGTGTTGCTATGGTGAAGCAGAGTATATGCAAATGGCAACTGTGTTAAACTTTCATTTGGCTTTTAATTACTGGTTTGGCAATACAGTACAGTATTTTTTGTTGTAACTTATTTATTGTATTATTTTTATTAATTTCTCACATTTACTGGTACTGTATAAATTATTTTAAGAAAACTATGGCTACTGGAGAAAATATTTACACAAGTTTTTTTCCGAAATACTCCCTGCTAAAATGGGGGTGTGTCTTATATGGCCGTGCATCTTATATGCCATTATCTTCCCCAGGTATATAGGTATATGCTCCTACATTAACTGTGTCTTCCCCCCCCCCCCACTAAGCCAAGCACATAAGGTTGAATGTGTGAAAGTTAAATTCACTTAAGATGCAATACGACTATTACATTTTTGTATGATCAGCCTCTTATGGTGTTCAATTTATCATATACAATATAATATAACAGCTTTGAAAACAGAAAAAATATAATCTATAACTTGTAATTTAACCTGAAAATAAAATTATAAGATGCATTAAAAGGTATCACTTTCCTGACACCTCATCCCTCTTTCCTTTCTGTCCTGTACTTACGTTGCTTAATCATTGCTTTTTGGATCCTTGATACTCTCTTGAACTTTGGTGAAACTTTACGAAACAGCTGGATGATAATGAATGTTGGAGGGAAAGTGACCAGGTTTGATATAATTCCCACTCCAATCTGTGGAAACAAAATGGTTCTACTGTATATTAAAATAATTTAAGAAAGAAAAAGTGTACATATTCAAATAAAATACAGTAGTACCTCGCCAACCATGCATTTCTTATCAACTTATTCTGGGTATCCACGGTTTTTACTCTGTATATAATTTTTCCAACAGCGGAATTGAATTTCGAGTACAGTAACTGCAGGTAGGCATGGCATCAGTTTCTCTCCATGTTCCAGTGTAATCACCCACGCAGCATCCAGCCTCCCGCCAATGCTTGTGCCACACTCTCTCAGCGTTGTGATCTGGTACCATGTAGACGTACTTTACTTCTCCGTACACTCGATACTTTATTCCACATTTACCACTGTAATAACATTTATTTTGCCTTTAACTATGGCTCCTAAGCGTGCATTAAGCGTTAGTGATAAAGGTAATTAGAAAATGAAGAGGCAAGGAACACAATGACTAGAAAAAAGTTGAAGTGCTCGATAGACTAGCGCGTGGCAAAAGCTTAGAGTAGGCGGGACGCACGATGGGGGTAAACCAATTCTTGATTTATACCATTAAGAAAGGTAAGGCTAAGATAAGGACTAGTGTTAAACTCACTGGGGAATCCACATCAGCTGATCACCAGGCTGCTTTGGTGCTTCCTCAAGAATTTGTGAAGTTGATTCAGGAGAAGGGTTACCTGCCAGGTATTGAATGCAGATGAGACTGGCCTTTATTGGAAAAGATTGCCCAAAAGAATATTCATTTCCAAGGCTGAGAAGTCTGCTCTCGGATTTAAGACAAGGAAGGACAGGCTGACCCTTCTCCTTTGTGGTAACACCTCAGGGGGTTGTTTCATCAAGACCATGCTCCTCTACTGGTTCTCAGAATCCACGTACCCTGAAGGCTAAGAATAAGTATCACCTCCCTGTCTTTTGGTAGTCTAACTATAAGGCCTTGGTTACTGCTGCCATCTTCATGGATTAGTTAACTACTCTTTTGTCCAAGAGGTTGAGTGGTACCTTGCCATTTATAATTTGGGGTTCAAGACATTGCTCATCTTCGACAACACAAGCGGTCACCCTGAGGCACTCCTGATAGTTCATCCCAATATAGAAGTGGTATTCCTCCCTCCAAGCACCACTTCACTTCTTCAGGGTGTATTAGCCACCTTTAAAAGTTATTACACTTACTATACCTTCAGCCTTATATTTGATGCCATGGAGGAGGATGCCACCTTAACTGTTTCACTGCTGGAAATACTTAAACATTGCCATCAGCATCATAAAAGAATCAGTGGATGAAGTGAAGGAGTCAACGCTGAATGCATGCTGGGGGAAAATCAGTTGATGCTGATTTTATAAACCCAACCTTTCTTACATTTTTTCATAAAAGAATTGAGTCCCCCATCATTATATTGTGTCAAAATATTTTGTTTAAGAATCTTTTATTGGAGCCTTATAGAGAATTTATTCGGGTTCATTATGGTATCAGATTCATCTAATACAATTAGAACAGATGCTGTAAATAAAAGCTTATACTCTTTTTCACTGTCCATAAAAATTTTCACTTATGCCCGCGGTCTATATGTACTGTAATGGGAGAATGTTTGCCCATGTGAGATGAGATGATGAGATGAGTCATTTTCACTCTCTTAGACTCTCGGAAAACTTTACCAAGCAACCAGAAACATTCCGGGGATGTGGGCTAGTGTCTGTCTGTAAGATGAGTAGTTTAGACTCTCAGAAACTTTTTCCAATACCCGGAAAAATTCTGAAGATGTTGGATTTTTCCAGGTTTGAGAGAGTTGTCTCATTACCCGAACATCTCTCATCCCCAAAAGAGCTTTGTACCAATTTTTCAGGCTAATGGGGATATCAATGTGAAGTAGTTGAGGAACCTATCTCATTTGTCTAGCAAGGGATACCCGTACTGCATTTAATGAAGGTGAAAAGCAAACAAAAACTTTTACTTTCCATAGTATTAGAATACATTATGCAAGAAAATATTTAAATATGGGGGAGTTACACATAACTATTATGATTAAGTTGTGTATCATAAATACCAAGACAGTTTAGGTCTCCAAAGACCAATTTTTTTCCAGAATTCATTATACTATTTTGACCCAAGCCATTCAGATTTTTTAAATTTGACTGTACAACAAGATGCAAGCACTTACTGCAGCAGGGGACATGGAGAAGGGTCCCAGTTGTATGCCTCCAGCACCTGGTTCCTCAGGGATAACACCATAAAACATGGCATTAGCAGCCATAGAGAGGTAAAGGAGAGCCATGCATGAAGTAATCCGCTGGACTCTTGTGAATCTGGGAAGAAAGAGTCAGTTTAAACTACGTTATTCATCACAACTATAACTTATATTCTTCATAGTCTATGAATTTTTCTTTAAAACATACATACGGTATCGTATAACGTACTCTTACAGCAATCCCTTGGCAACCGCAGATGTACCCTCTGCAGTTTTGAATACCCACATTAATATATTTTACACTGTTTTACCAACTATATTATCCAGTCTTAAGAATTTGAGGGTGTCCACAGCCACAGGCGGAATATTTGTTGCCCACTGTGGAGGGAATGGTCACTACATCAGGTCTATAAAATGGTCCAGCTTGTTTGCTTCATCATGCATATTTTCCTCAAAGAAAAGCAGTTTTTTCTAAAAACCAGTTTTTATGATATAGTCCAGAATGCAACGTCTAGCTTTATACCTGCATATGTATATGCCTTGCATTAACTCGCCAGGCCAACATACAGGCAATTAAAACATTTAATAACTACTTAAATACGTGATATTAGGAGGACACGTCGCTACCTGGCATTTAATTGCAATTCTCAAAACCCCCTCCTGCACCCGCTAGCACATGCATCACCACCGCCATCTCTTGCCCTAGAGCGAGCAGTAAACAAATGTCAACTCTCAAGGGGTGGAGATGGGTGGGATGTCGACGCCTCATTCTGGATTTTATGACAAAAACTGGTTTTAAGAAAAAAAAACGGCATTTTGTTCAGTCCAGAATGCGATGCCTAGCTTTGATTACCCGAGCAGGAGGTGGAGAGGGCGGTGACATTGCATATAAGGCTCCGCTAGCTTAGGTCCAGACAATAATTATAAACATGTTTGGAATATTTTCCTTAATAAGAAACCTCTACCGGAAGATAAAATTTTAATTTACATATCCCAATCAAGATACTCAGTATATTCTGGTTGTGGAGATTAACGAGTTGGGGGAGGGGACCCCAGCACCACCACATGTGAAGCACCTTTCAGTGATAGATGAAGATAGCTGTTTTGAAAGGTTTTTGAAGATTTCCTAAAGCCCACTTCTTTGATCTGACTGAGGCTCATATGCTGCAGAAAGGCCACAGACCCTGCATATTTCCTGGTGTCATGAGCCAAAAATATCCAGCCAGGGGTCTGCTTGAGTCACTAACTGAGATAAATATTTTGTCATTTGACTAGGAGATAATTTCTTATCATCCTGTGATGAGAATACATAGGGGCCTCGATTAGGGAATCTGGTTAACCATTCTTGAAGGTTCTTAACTGGGCACAACATATGAGGAACCCTTGTCTCATCCATTAGTCATTTTATCCGGATAGGTCGAGCTTGAAAATCCTCTCTTTCATTTTTACTTAGGATCTCCATGGGAAATAGAGTGACAGCTAGACTCTTGAACTCTGATAATTTTAGGGACCATTCTGTTTCCGTTGATACTGCCCTGAGACGGGACAGCGCATCTGCCCAATTGTTTTGTACTCCTGGTTTTGTCTCAATCATTAAGGCTCAACCATATCTTGGCCCCTTCTAAAACTGTCAGAAAAAAAATTGAAAGTTTGTGTAACACAAACACTTTACCTCAAAGGAACTCACATACCGGGAGTACAAAACAATTGGGCAGATGCGTTGACCCATCTCAGGCCAGTATCAACGGAAACAGAATGGTCCCTAAAATTATCAGAGTTCAAGAGTCTAGTGAGGAAGTTTGGGACTCCGCAAATAGATCTCTTTGCCTCACAAAGCAATCACAAGATGCCACTTTATGCATCTCTGGAACGATCGAATCTTTTAGGAAATGCTCTACTCATAGATTGGAACCATTGGAATTCAATCTATCTGTTCCCACCTGTGAAAATGTTGCCCAAAGTGGTTCACAAACTCAGATCCTTCCAGGGCAAGGTCCTCTTAACTGCACCATATTGGATCCTACAACCTTGGTGCCTGGATCTGTTGGACTGGTGCCCGGATCCACTACAATTGCAACAAGGATGTCTAGACCAGGTACTGCACCCTTAGTTCAAGATATCTTTGGCACTTCACACTTGGAGTTTCTCAAAAGATGTTTAAATACATTGTTTAGTAACTTCAATATAGTTAACCAAGTGATGGCAGGTCATGGACCCCAAACTTCTATGCAATATGAAAAAGTTTGGAAACTTTTTCAGCAATTTATCAGGTTAACGACTACAAACACATTGTCGGAAACAGTGGTGTTAGAATTTTTAGAATTTATGTTCGGAGTGAAAGGCCTTCAAGGATCAACAATTGCATCGTATAAATCAGCTTTAGTTGACCCTCTGGATTGGGGCTTTAATATTACTTTGAACCCAAGGATTTATCAAATGCTCAGATCGTCCTTTTTCATTCAGAGACCCACTTGGCCTAAGAGAATCCCACCTTGGTTTCTAGAAAAAGTTACTAAATTTCTCAAGGGGCCTTATTACAAAATAAATCTAAACCGGGACAGATTGCTCCAGAAGGCAGCTTTCCTTCCAGCAATAGCAACAGGTATGAGAATGAGTGACCTGATTTCAATTTCCAATAATCTATCATTATTGGTATTTTCTGAGGAAGATGTCACCCTTTTTCCTACGGAGATCCTAAGAAAAAATGAAAGGGCGGATTTACAAGTTCAACCTATCAGGATAAAACGGCTAATGGATGAGTCAAGGGTTCCTCATATATAGTGCCCAGTTAAGAATCTTCAAGAATGATTAACCAGATTCCCTAATTGAGGCCCCTATGGATTCTCATCACAGGATGATAACAAATTGTCTACTAGCCAAATGACAAAATATTTATCTCAGTTAGTGAGTCAAGCAGACCCTGGCAAGAAATTTTTGGCACATGACACCAGGAAATATGCAGGGTCTGTGGCCTTTCTGCAGCATATGAGCCTCAGTCAGATCAAAGAAATGGGCTTTTGGAGATCTTCAAAACCTTTCAAAACAGCTACTTATCTTCATCTATCTCTGAAAGATGCTTCACATGTGGTGGTGCTGGGGTCCCCTCCCCCACCTAGTCAATCTTCACAACCAGGACCTTCTTCCTCATCAGAATAAAGTGAGTATCCTAATTGGGATACGTAAATTAACATTTTACCTTTCGGTAAATGTTCCTAATTTTGGAAAATATTCCAAACGGTTTATAATCATAATCTGGACCTAAGCTAGCGGAGCCTTATACACAACGTCACGTCCCTCTCCACCTCCTGCTCGAGTAATCAATGCTAGACGTCGCATTCTGGACTACAGTGGTCCCTCGGTTAACGAACGGTTCGATTAATGGAATTTTGGTTAATGAATTACCTCCCATAAGGATCTTCAATTTGGTTAACGAACAAAACTTCAATTAACGAAATCCTTACGACAAACACGTTTTGTTGTGAGCATTAGCTGATGGGCCAGTCTGCCAATTCAGTAATTCAGTAATCTGTTCTATGTTTACATTCGTTGTGGAGTAAATATCAAGAAGGTTGTGTTCTTGAATACTTTTTCATTTTTTATATTACAATTATTGGTCATTCTAAAATTTAGTCATCCAAGCTCTGTCTACATAAAGTTTTTCAACTATTATTTTTGGCTCGATATATGTAACTTTATTCATTTATTGAAACTCATTTACATGCACACACTGTACTAAGGACAAAGCTGAACTGTACATATAATCAGAATAATGTACAAAATGATTACTAAAATTTTTGTCTAGTGCAAAATATGGCATGTTTACATTCAAATTAATCACTATCTTATAAGAATTCCAGCATTGTAAATTATATTCACCCCTGTCACTTCTATGACATTTTATAAACAAAAAACAAAAACTCAATCTAAAGGACATAAATAAAAAAACAAATACTTCACTAGACCTTCAGCGCCAACTGTCAAACATGTCACTGTCACCCCTTCCTCCCCCCTCCCTCCCAGCAAAGGTTTGGTGGTCATACAGTAGGCTTTAAGTTTTTATCTTATATAATATCTCAGACTAAAGTTAGGAGAATATAATTTGCATTGCTGGAATCTTTGCAAGGCAGCGAATAATTTGAATATAAACGTCATATATATTGCACAAGATATAAAATTTTTAGTACTTTAGTGTACTGTAGTACATTTTATGATGTAAAGTTTTTCAACTGTATTTTTGGGTAGATTTACATAAATTTATTCATATATTTTTATTCATTTACATGCACACATCATACTAAAAGAAACGTAAAAGAAATAAATTACCTAAGTGCAAACCTGTACTGTACATGTTCTAAATGATTACGGTACTAAAATTGAAAATTGTTATGTCTTGCGCAAATTAAAGTTTGTTTATATTCAAATTAATCACTACAGGTTGACAATCCCTTATCCAAAATCCTTGGGGCCAGAGGCATTTCGGATTTTGGAATTTTTCGGTTTTCAAAATGTTTTTTTTTGTTTTTGTTTTTTTTAAAGCCTACCCGGGCATAGATCACTGACCCACATCGGGGCCTGGGGAGAGGCGAAAATATTATAATAATAACTGTAATAATAATAATACAGGATTACCCCGCTTTACACGGTTTCACTTTCCGCAATTTCTCATTTACGCTGTACCTTGCCAGAACCGGACTTTCACTTTCTGCGGTTCGTCTACTCATATACGCGGTGAAGTATAATTTTTTTTTTAATTTTTTTTTATTTAGCTCATAAAATTCATACAAATTACCCGGCCAGAATATAATTTAAACTGCTGGAATTCTTACAATATGATGATCATTTTGAATATAAACATCATGGATTTTGCATTAGATATACAAATTTTAGATCTAATGTAATAATTTGGTTTACACAAAGCAAATATTTTATCTTTTGTGCAAAATATATGAAGTTTACATTCAAAATATTCCCTGACCTGCAAGGAATCCAGAAATGTCAATTATATTATCCTAACTTTAGTCTGAGGTATTATTTATTACTAAAAGTTAAAATCTAGTTTTTTTCACCCACACATTTCTCTGGTAGGGAGGGAAGGTGGGGGGTGGGGGGGAGGGTTGG